TCACCTATCCTCCATCTCAGACCTCGGGCCAGGAGCACTTGCCCACATATAATGCTCCACCATAAATAAGAACAGCCAGAGCTAAAACCGGCTAAAAGGAAGTCTGAGTTCCTAAAATACTTCCCCTTCGAAACCCTACTAGCTAGAGAAGAAGGGTCCTGAAAGATCCTCCATGCCCGCTTAGCCACCAGTGCCTGATTAAACATCTGCAGATCTCTAAAGCCCAGACCACCCTTTGACTTTGCTTGACACACCTTCTGCCACCTAACCCATTGAATCTTCCTCTCACCAGAAGTCGATCCCCACCAGAATCTTATAATGATAGACTCAATCTCCCTGCAAAAAGAAAGGGGAATGTGGAAGATACTCATCACATAACATGAAATCGCCTGCAAAACAAATTTCACCATAACCTCCCCCCCCCAGCTAAGAAAAGAGCCCTCCTCCAGACTTGAACTCTTTTCCAAACTGAGTCTCTGATTGAAGCAAAAGTCTGACGATGATTTCTTCCAACCACCAAAGGGGGCCTAAGTATCGATCATGTGACTGGATCCTATCAAGCCCTAAGATAGAGAAAATAGAGACCCTAGTATCCTCATCTACACATGGACTAAAGGTGATGGCATACTTTTAAAAGTTGACTTTCTGACCGGTTGCAGCCTCATATAGTAGCAGAGTACTCTGGACAACCTGTGCAGCGGCCTGGGAAGCCTGAATAAAAATCAAAGAGTCATCTGTAAAGAACAAGTGAGAAATTCTTAGCCCCAATCGAGAACAAGATAACCTTCTGATGCACATATTCTTCTCCCGTCTGATGATCAGTACCGAGAAAGCTTCCGTACAGAGAAGAAACAAATATGAAGATAGTGGGCATCCCTGCCGCAAACCACGAGTAGGAGTGACCTGACCCACAATCTTCCCATTGAGGTAGAAAGAGAGTGAGGAAGTGGATATACCGTCCAAAATGAGAAGCCTCCAATGATCTGAAACCCCATGAGCTGAAGGCCCCTATTAATAAACCCTCATTCCACTCTGTCATATGCCTTACTCATATCCAACTTTAGTGTCATATGGCCAGACTGGCCCTATCTCCTTTTCTGCAATGTGTGGAGAAGTTGAAAAGCAACAATGACATTGTCCTGAATAGATCTCCCTGGGACAAAAGCACTCTGAAAGCATCCGATCAATCCGCCAAGAACCCGCTTCAGCCTATTAGCAATGGTCTTCGTGACAATCTTGTAGACCATATTACATAGACCGATGGGTCTAAAGTCTGCCACAGTCTCAGGTGAATCCTTTTTTGGGGATGAGAACCACATTGGTCTTATTCCAAGACTTGATGGATGAGCCCCCATTTATAATCTCCAAACATGCAGGTGAAATATCTGGGCCAATAACAGACCACCTGGACTAAAAAAAGATGCATGGAAGCTATCTGGGTCGGGTGCCTTTGAAGGACCAATAGATTGAAGAGCATCTCACACCTCATCACATGTAAAAGGCTCATAAATGATCCAGATGTCATCCACTAAAAGCTGTGAAGAGATAGTACTATCCTATAATTATTAATTCTAGAAAAGAGGTGTAATATCCAAAGCATTCTATTTTTGTATACGTATACCTTAAATCGTGCATATTTGCACCTGCCTTTAAGTTTTAGTGGTTGCAAAGCTTTCCTAAATCAGCAATTTTGGAAAGAAAATATATCCAAATCAACAAATCATCAACTTTGTTGAATATGGTGCGTAAATATTTGACTAGTTTGTTCATTTTCACATTTCGGTCATTACAAATTAACCTATCAAAGTCAATGATTTGCTTAATTAGGGGTATTTATTTTCTAAACCTGTTAATTTAAGATAGTTTGCAAATATTGATATTTGAGGGGTGATTTTGAAAATTTGCATGCCTCAAGGGGTATATATACAGAATACCCTTAAAAAATCAAGGTGGTAAATTGGATCTCTCAAGGTTTCTCAGGAGTCATGCGTCTCATTTGTAAGTCATGAGTGTTGGATCCTGTATGTAATGCTCAAAGCACTAGAGGGGGGGGG